AACAACACCACCCCCCGGCACAACACCACCAACCCCTGGCACAACAACACCACACCCTGGCACAACAACACCACACCCTGGCACAACAACACCACACCCCGGCACAACACCACCACCCCCTGGCACAACAATACCACATGAAACAACTGTAATTACATCGTCAACAGAAGAAGTATCAACAACACCGCATTCTACCCAAGAGACAACAACGACCCAGGTTTCTACAACAGTTTCTACATGTAAGTTTATTGCAGAAAAATGTTATCACAAATATATTTCTTTTTTGTAAATACTTTCCTTGATAAACAGACAGGTATTCAGGGGCGGATTTACCCTTAAACCCTTTTGGACATCTGGATCCGCCCCTGGTATTGAATTCCTTATAACAAAGCATTACTTTAAAAGTGCATTGAATTTATCTATCCTAGCACATAAAAGCTTTATAAAAAAAAAATACCAACTATTTAGTAACACTACACTCAGATTATATTTAAGTAAACCTCTTTGTTATCTTCTTGCAAAATGATAATGAGTGTACTAATATGTAATACATGTTAAATACACTTGTGCTAAGAGAGACAATTCACTTTATTTTTCAAAGGTAATTTCTGCTACAGAAACCTTGACACTAATTGTTTGATCTAAATTTAGTATCTCACTAGAGGTGACTTGGCCAGCCATACTTCATTTACAGTTTTATTTAATTTTCTTCTCTGTAAAATCTGATATGAAAGTATGGCTGCCTAGTATTTCAAATTTTGACATTATATGCAATCTTAATCTTGCATCTATAAATGTACAAAAAAGGAAGCACTGGAGGCACTACAATTGAGTTGTCCAGGCTGCATGATATTTCAGAATATGCAACACAAAGTATTAATAGATGGAATTAATGGATTCCTACAGTATATTTTGATTTAAAATGACATTAATATGAGATGAGGAAACAAAAATTTATTCAATATTCCTAAATCCAATTCATTCCATGTATTTTTTTTGTTTACTTTAGCTGGAAAGTTTGTGAATGTTATGGGATGAGAGTTAAAGCTCAGTACATTTTGCAAACAGTCATCATATTTTCCAACTCATTTCATTGATTTTTTTCTTGTTTTTTTACTTGGAAAGTCCCTGAATGTTATGAAATGCCAAATGCTTACGATTATCGAGGCTCGGTACATACCACAACCAGCGGTTTTACATGTCAAGACTGGGCATCACAGACACCGCATTCGCATTCATACACTCCAGAAAGTTATCCAGATGACGGTTTGCTTAACAACAACAACTGCCGTAACCCCGATCAGGATGACACCGCATGGTGTTATACGACAGATCCAAACAGAAGGTGGGAATTTTGCGATGTTGGCAGTCCA